ATGATGAAATCCACAAGAAACATAGCCAAAATGATCATAAAACCAAAAAAAAAAAAAATCGAAGTTTAGACTAAAATCCGAAAGAAAAAAAATGCATACCATAGAGATCATTTTTGCATTTTTGTCTTTTTTTTCTGAATGATTTTATAGAAAAATAAAAGATAATACTTCAATAAAAATCTATTCTTAATAAAAGAGTCTTTAAAAGAACATGTATCCTCTTTTGCATCATATTGTTTGCCACGTGTCAATACACTAAACCTTTACAATCTAATTTTCCCGCTTACAAAAATACTACATCATTTGACCATCGGTTCCTAAATAGTGTCATTTTAGTTAAAGATTTATCTCATTGTCGAAAATATCAAAATACATACATCAAAACCATAAAATCAGCAGTTGTTATTTTAAATTTAATCTTTTACCAAATATAAACATCCAAAATAAAAGGAATTCGATAGTATATTCATATCAATTCAATATCTCATATCCGAAAATGCAATCAAATTAATTTTAGAACTTATCTATTCAAATACAAAATTCAAAAATATAGAGATTTCTTTTGACTAAATCATTTCAAAGAAACTTTTGGTATTTTGAAATTTTATTTGAATTTTGATTTACTATATCCCTTAAAATCTGCATTTATTTTTAAATATATTAATCTTATCTTATACCAAATATATATCATTTCTGTTTATTTAATCGTGTTATAAAAACCGAACCCCAAAACAAATTTATTTTCTCCTTCAAATTGTTTCTTACTCTGACGTTTTATTCTTTTCAGTCTGCACCTGCTCTGTGCTCAATCCATCAGGTATGCTGCTTTTTATTTTCTGAAAATGTAATCAAAAGTCTATTTTATATCATTTTATAGTCGTGTATAACAGAGAACAAACAGATTTTATAAATTTTCGTCAAGAAAACAAGCCGATTTATTAAATCTTCTTATGAAGTTCCATGTACTATTATTAGTTCCACATTTTACTTTTTTACCCTTTCATATGCAATTTATGAAGTTTGATACCTCCTGTGTGGATTTAAGCTGGGCAAAATACAAAATCTTGACCATAAAATATAATTGTTGAGATTGTATGGTGAAATTCGGTTTAAATATAAAGTTCTAAATTGTTTTATATCTCTTGAGTGATGTAAATTACAGTAAATAAAAACAAGAAAATATATAAAATTATACTTAAAAATTTCTAAATAAACTTATAAAATTAAATCTCAATGGATTTGTATGATTTTTTAATGTAAATTCAAATCATATAAAAGTACATTGCTATTGATTGCATCTCACTTGAACTTGAGAAAACAAACAATCAAATATAGCATTGTACTTTTAGATATAATCCTTTTTCTAGCATTGTACATTTGTACTTTTAGAAACAATTCTTTTATAGAAATGTACTCCCAAAATCAATCCTTTTATATTTTTGTACTTATTATGATCCTATTGAAAATATTGTTTTAAAATTCCTTAATGTTTATTGATCATTGAACATTGAATATGGATTCAAACGAATGTTTAATTAGATTTTTGAATATACAAGACCAAAGGGTAACGACTATTGGGATATTTGTTGTATTTTAATTAGAGGTTAGATGAAAAAAATGTAGTTTCTAACCATGAAATTACTTTATTTTTTTATGTTTATGTTTATTTCATTTGATTTAATATTTATTTTTTTTGGTTAATTTCATCATGAGATTTTAAATATAATGGAACTTTTCCAACCATCTAATGAAACCATGAGGTTATACACGTCATTTTATGAGATTTACAAAAAAAAAAACCACCAACAGAAAACAATAAACTCAAAACATCACAATTTTCACCTTTAATAAGCTTTTACTTTCAATTTAACCTTTAATAAGCTTTTACTTTCAGTTGATAATTAGTAAACAATATTTTCATATATAAGTTCAACACAACTATGTCAATTATTTCCTACATGTTTACTCCAGATCACACTTATTGATGGAATTTTCACCATAAAACCCACTCTATCTTATTCAAGAGAACAAACAGATCAACAATAAAAAAAATTTGAAAAGTTGATAATTAGTCTTGATAACTCAATTAACTCTATCAGAAATCCTATATGCTGAAAAAATTATTTTCATAAAAGAAAGCAATAAAAACGTAGCTACCTCATGTGCACCATTAATGAATAACATCGATAAGTGAACAAACATAATCAACGCAAAACACAGTGAACAAACAAGCAATAACTTCATTCTTCTTTCACAATATTCTGAAAAGTTAACAAACATGATCAACGCAGTGACAAACAAAATGGCAAAATTGACTTAATTTTTAGCAAGACAATATTTAAATTCTCATTCATCAAACATTGTCACCATTACCAATAACATAAACAATTAAATTTCCTTTAAAACTTTGTGAAATCCCAATTAAACTGCATATAAAGTGAAAACAAAACCACAAATACTTTTTTGAAATATCAAACAAAAACATGGATGTCATATACGCTATAGAAACATTGATCAGAAAAATGGCTTATGCAATGACACTAGACTACAGGTAAAATCTTTGGGTAAACGAGTTATCGTGGCAGTTATCATATTTGGAAGTAATATTGGAAACCGGAATTTCATTCCAAGAATGTCTTTAACTCCTACTGAAAATAAGATCCCATTCAAATTTCAAAAAATACAATTTCTATTGGCTGTATGTTCTGCAATAACAATTAACAAGAGTCAATGACAATCTTTATCGAATGTTGGATGGTTTCTCAAGGATCCTGTTTTTACACATGACAAATTATATTTTATTTCATCTAGAGTTCAAAGTAGAAAGAGATTAAAATTGTTAATTCTAGATAACCATGGTAGACTATCAAATAAAACATTCGATGTCATGTATAAAGAATTTTTAGAAAATTATAAAAACGTTGTACAACTTTATTATTTATATCAATTTATGTTTCTATTTTATTTAAATTTATATTGCATTATACAAAATGATAATTTTCTAACATATCTACAAATACAAATTGCTGATTTGATATTCAAACCATTATCATTTCTTAATTTCGACCTAGCATTATATCATTATGAAATTACATGCTAAACATTGTTCAATAATTAAGTTATAACTTAATTGAAATTATTTTTAAATTTATATCTCGTGGTGTCAACGGGTTATAACCTAGTATGTAATAAAGTTGATATAATTTGCGTTTTGAAATAATATTCGTATTCATATATGTACCTCCTTTAGCGCCCTTCCAAACAAATATACATTTTTATTAATGTGATTGAATAACTAATTGAAGACACACCACCACAAAATAAATGATACAAACAAAATTCAAATTCAAATTTGTATTGCGTAAAAGATATTATGTACGTTATTCAAAATCCATCACAAGATTAATACGAAAAATCCATCACAAGATTAATACGAAATTAATATATGTTTGTTATGTTTTATATAATTAAATATAAATTAAATAAATTCATAATTATTTTATATTATCTTTAACGTGTTTGTCACGTTTTAATAGAGTTGTTTTTTGTTTGTTAAACAAAAAAAAATTTGTCAGTGTAATTACATTTTCTCTTTATTCACATTTGTATAATTTTATTTTTTAGGTACACATCTAGGTAACGAACTTTTGTAAGTATTTACATATGAACATTATGATTGTCTATAGCAAGTTACAACCGATCATAATTGTCATATATGAACACTTCTAACAAATTCGTGATCTAGATGTATACAAAAAAAAGTTACCTAGATGTGAACAAAACGAAAATATAACTACCAAGATAAGTCAATTTTCCTTTTTATTAAGACGGTCAATCATAATTTTTGAAATATTAATATATTCAGTTAAATTTTCTTAAAACAATATTTATGAGGGACCATTTTTTGTAGCATAATTATCAAATATATATATATATATATATATATATATATATATATATATATATATATATATATATATATATATATATAGTACAATAAACTACTTCTATTTTTTGTATTTTAAATTCTTGTAATATATTAAGCAAACTTAATTGAAGATCATGTTCTATTTCATCTTATTGTTCTTCATCTCTGATACTTTTAGTTTTTTAGTAAATTTTAATTTTTATATTTAATATCTTAAACAATAAAATTTTATAAAATAACTATGTGTTTTTTCCCTATTAATTTTGAAGGGTTTTTTTATTATATAAAAGTAGTATATTTTAAAAAGATATTTACTAAAATTGTATGGTTTTAAAAATATTTACCATTTATGTTGAATTTAGAATGTAAAATAAAAAATAAGGTAAATTGAATTATCAAGGTAATTAACTTTTCGTTTTATTCATATCTAGGTAAACTCGTTTTTTTATACACATCTAGATAACAAACTTGTTGGAAATATTCACAGATGATCATTATGTCCGATTGTAACTTGCTATAACCGATCATAATGATCCTATGAACACTTCCAATAAGTTCGTTACCTAAATGTATATAAAAAAACAAAGTTACCTAAATATGAACAAAACAAGAAGATAATTAGTCTGATAAGTCAAGTTCCCTTAAACAAAACACAATATCATTATGCTTGTATCTTCTTAAACTTCTTGTTCTCGAATTTTTTTTAAAGAAGGAAAGAGAAGGAAATGTGTGTTCTCGGGTTTTTTTAAAGGAGAGAAATGGAAGAAGGAAAAGAGTGGTGTTCTTGAGTTTTATTTAACAAGAGAAAGGGAAGGAAATAAAGGGTTTGTGATGGAAAGAAATGACTTATTTTCTTAAATTTCTTTCCTCTCATTTTTTGAGATGATAGGGTTGAAAAAAAAGAGAATGTAAGGAAGAGAAAGGAAAAGAAAAATTACTCCTTTTTTTTTCTTTTATTTCCCTCCATATCCTTTCTAGAAAAAATTAGAGAACATGGCGAAAAAAAAAACACAAAAATTAGAGACCCGATAAATAAATCAAAAAATATTATAATCAACAAAATAAATATTGTTGACAAGTGCCCGTGTGGCGTGTCACGTGTGCTGGTAGCTTCTTTCTTTCTCTTCCATTTTGATATTTCCCAATTGATCGAAAGATTAAACCCAGAACCTCTTTTGCTTCTCGATCATCTCAACGTCACTTGTAACTTTGTAAGTATCTTCTCTGCAACAATTTTCAGTATTTCATCCTGTTTATGATCATGTTTGCTGTTCTTTTTCGTTAGGTTTTGATAATCGATACAAAATTTATCATAATTCACCGTCAAACCGACTGATTTTTATCTGGACTTCATTTTGTTCGATTTTCTTACGATTCGTATACATTTCGATTCGAAATGTTCATTAGGAGTTTTCGGATCATTCGCCTATGTTTTGCTATTGAGCTACGATGGATTTGACATAATTATGTTTTTGTATTGCTCTACATATCCCGATATACACGAATAAACTCTTAATTCGCACCTCCAATTGAAATTATAAACTCGGCATCTATTTGATTGTAAGTATTCGTATGTTTGTGTTGATTGTCTTCTACACTGAATCAACAATATTAAGCCTCATCATTTTACCTTTCCCAATTCCGATTATTCCAACAATGTAAGGCTAATTCCACTTGGTATAAACCTAATCATCTGAACTTCTGATGAACTCTGATGTAGTACTATTTTAGGTGAAAGCAGTTGAAGAAGAAGACAACCATGGCAGCAAAGCAGGCATTTCGATACATGTCTCGAAGGCTCTCAAGCAGTGGAAAAATACTAAGCGAGGAGGAAAAAGCTGCAGAGAATGTCTACATCAAGGTAATGAATTAAGCACTTCAAAACACGTTGAATTCCATATCCTTCAACTTACGAAAAGTCCTGTTTAAATTGATCCATATTTCTCTCTCTACTTTCTGATTGTTTCCTTCTTGATCCTGTAGAAAACTGAGAAAGAGAAGTTGGAAAAGCTTGCACGCAAGGTTAACAAAATACAACCCCAAATGCATCTACTTTTATTCTAGTCTGGAAATAGCCTGGAAAGTTTGACCTTTTATTCTAGTCCTATATATGGCTATGATTTGCATTTGATATTAAGGAATGATGATTTTGGTATTTTCTTACAGGCCCAAGCGGATGCCACATCAGCAACCTCCGGTGGTGGTGGTGGTGAAGCAAAAGGAAGTGGGCCCGCCATTGGAGTATCAGAAGACAAGAACAGGAACTATGCGGTTATAGCTGGTGTTGTGACAGCTGTCGGAGCACTTGGATGGTACCTTAAGTCAAAGAACAAGAAATCTGAGGATCTCCATGACTGAATACTTTAAGTCAAAAAATGGGAGAGGTTTAGTTGAAATTGTATCTTTTTCATGTTCCTCTTTGATCTTGTGTCTAATGTCTGAATGGTTTAAGATGATAAATAACTGAATAAGAGTTTTACTTGTTTGTATGGAGGTATATTTGTGATGATAAATTGGTTTTGGATTTGGTTCAAGCATTTTATCAAGCAGTTGGTGTTGGTTTATGTTAAATAACTAAATAAGCAGATGACAAATAACTAAAACATTTTTTTTTTTGGTATATAAGTATCATATTGGGATAATAAAGTTGAAGACATTAGCTGCATTAATCTCATTAAAATCAGAAGGATATGTAAATATTGGATGTAATTTAAGAATATATTCAATCAAATATATGAATTATGTTTGAATAGGATAAAAAAGAAAGGATCACGTGGGTCAAAAACATAATATTGATTTATATGCTATGGTATAAATAGTTCTGGGAATTTTCAACATGACCCGTGATCCAATATTAAGATAAATGGATTTGGATCAAGTTTTTTTAAATTGTTAACCTCTTTGTTAAATGGGTTGTATATGGGTTTGCAAAAAAATCACAGGTTGACCCGTGATCCGTTTATGATTTTAAGATAAAAAAATTTATATATTTATTAAATGTTTTAAGTAGAATCGGTACTCTTTTGTTTGTTACACGTTTATTAAATGTTACCACAGCCCTATGGTGCCACAATTGTAAATGAAGTTCAAAATTTATGTACTTTATGCAAATTATATTTAGCTCCTTTAACCTCTATTTGTCTCTCATCTATGATCTGACACAAATTGGAAACTTTTGATACATGTACGCTACACAGCCACGTGGAAATATATTGTATGCAGCTTTGGTGATTGGTGGCTCATTCATTAGTGAAGGTGACACTGATACTATACATGGATACAAACATTTTCGCACTACATGATAAATGAATTTAAAGAGAAAATAAAACTTTTTATTTTTATTATTTGGCGTGGACTTGATCCCACGTCTTTGCAGCCATGGCAGTGGTTAAAAATGCTTCTTGCTTTTATTTTTATACCATCATTTTATCCAATTTTATCCACTTATAATGATCGGACATATTTGAGAAACAAGATTATTCATCTTTATGACCTTGTGATAGCAACATCATTACTTGTTGTGTCTAACCCACAAATCCAAATCTGACCCGCAAACCCGTATAAATAAAAAGTTGACAGGTCGTGTACGGGTTGATGTTCCAATCCCGCTAACTCGAACACAACATCATTGCCACCCATAGGTATACATACTACTTTTGGAACAAATGATTGACATCATTATATGTATTGTTTGCTGCCTTTATAATAATTTAAAGGGATATTATCATAAAAGTTCTTAAGTTTTTTAAATTTGTGGGGTTTTGTGCCTATGGCGAATTTAAGTGTGGTAATGCCTAACATTTGTACATATTTGTTCATATTTGCCATATAGCAAGTTAGCATGTCACCCCACACCTGTTAGCTGGTCACCAAACTATTCATCAGCTCCCCCACGCCATTAATCACCATCGTCAACCGCCACCAATCACCACCGTTTACCGCCAACAACCAACACCAATCAACATCTCAATGAAATTCCCGGTGATACTCTCCATTTGGCCTCAAGGAATCCATTCCCATGAACAAGTTTGTCCCTTCGTATCCCAAAAACAACGACCACTTGTGATATGTAAACACCACCGCTACCATCAATGAAATCCACCATCTCCACCATATCTACATTGACATCGTCCACCACCAACTTCTCTTATTGCCCATATCTAAACTTAGTGCCCATATTGATGTAGTGGGTACTCAAACCCAAAAATTAAACCCAAATATCATGCCCATAAATTTAACTCATAAATCATAGATGAAATCAAAACCCTAGCAATACAAATACACAAACCGAAACACAAGTGCACAAACCTGAAATTAAACCCAAATAAAGCCTAAACCAAAATTTACATATTTTTTTGCTCTGATTCACGTTTTAGAGAGTAAAGATGTGAAGAAGATGATGTTGATGAACAATCAGAGACGACAGTAGGAGATGGGTTTCTAGGCGGTGGTTAGGGGAAATACTGGGGTGGAGGTATGGGGAAGAAAGGTGTTCAATTGATTGAGGTTTGATTCAAAAGAGAAGAAGGTTGGAAAGAATGATGTATGGGGAAGAAAAGGACGGTGGGTAGGTAGTGTAAACGGGGTAAGTGGTAAATGGCGATTTTGACACAATTAGTCCTAATATTAGGCATTACCACACCCAAATTCGCTACAGGGACAAAACCGCATAAATTTGAAAAACTTAGGGACTTTTATGTTAATATCCCTACTTTAAGTTATTTTTGAAATACTTACAGGACACTAGAGTTTGAAGGTTCTTATTAGATGAAATTTTGATGAAGATTTAGTATGTCTTGTGTCTATTTCTTAGATTGAGTTGTATTTTTTTCCTTATTGATTTTGATGAGAAAAGGTTATGACGGCAAGATGGTAGAATGTAAAGGATAGTAGAAGGGAGAAACCCGTGAAGCTGGATGTTTGCCCTGGAGGTCTGCACTGGAAACCCTATTTCATTATGATACACTTTAGCATGTCCAATGTAGGAATCATCGTGTATCGAGGCATCTTTCCTTCATGCATTATGGTCTGCATTGATGTATTCAGAGTGCCCCCACTGGGTGCATCCCCCATTTCCTTTGTCTTGTACACTCTACTGGCTACCACATTCAGACATGGTCTATTCGTTCTTCAAGTTGTTCGATAATGTGGTTTATGGCACTAAAGTGGGAAACATTTGGAAGACGCGTAAGGTTCATACGAAACTGACTTTGACCATGTTGCCTCAATTTGACCAAGTTCTAGTATAACTTGTCATTTTCCTTTTTAGCCTAGCTCATCCCGAGCTCATTTTATTCTTATTCTTACTTGAGGATAAGTAAGGTTTAATCTTTTGGTGATTTTATAGTTTATTTTATTTACTTTTTTGCGTAGTTTATTTTAGCATTTTTGGTATTTTTTTTGTTGTTTTTGTATTGCATATTTTATCCTTTCTTTATTTTGGACCACATCAGATGCTTTCACTTTTGTATAAGATGTTTTGCAGTTTTTTGGAGTCTCATTGTGGTTGCGAATTATCGTGTTATTGAGTTGCTGGGCTTTGTGATATTTCGAGAAGTTATTGGGCTTTGCGTATTTATTTTGGAAGAATTGGGCTTGATGTATTGAAAACTTGGATGGATCGTGGACTCTTGAAGATGAGCTTGGACTATCCATTTTGATGCTTGAAGATGATTAGTCCATATTTGAATGATGTGAGGTATGAAGGAGACCAATGAAATCTAAGGTAGTAGGGTGCAATAGTGGAAGACTGATCCAATAGCATTCCAACATCTTTTGTGAGGGTAAGGTCTCCACCCGCGTAACCCTACGCGCTCACCCGCACAACTGCCTTCCCGGGGGGCATTTTGGTCATTTGACCCATCATTTACCTTAAGGGTTAGGTCTTGCAGCCCCTAGATCGATTTTGGAGAGCAAGAAGCATTCCTCATCTCATTCTTCTAATATTTGCTAAATCCTTGATGTTAAAATACTTTTATGATCATTGTCTTGTTGCTATGAGTGGCTAGTTACTTTATTTTGGTTGAATTGGGCTAAAACCCATGGATATTTATGAGTTTTGAAGGATTCATGTTTGGTTATCATTTATCTCATGTTATGATTCTTAGTTCATAATTTTTATGCTTATTAATACTTTGATCATGAGCTTGGTACTTGATGAACAATTGTTGGTCTTTTTCTTTGATTTAGCAATGAATCATTGGAATTTGCTTAGACAAGGGCTTATGATTGTAGAAATCATCTCTAGCTAGATCATGACTCCTTTATGGATGTGTAAGCTTGACATCCTTCAGGAATTGGGAATTCCTTATTCTTAAGGCTAATCAATTTTCTTGGGTTCAATTGCTTCAATTGAATCCTTGAATTTGATTAGGAAGGTGCGTTGTGGGCTTCCCCAAACTCCATACTATCTTTGAGGAATTTTGGCATATCATGCTTCATGATTGTTATAACCAATTTTGGTTGAATGATAAGCTTACATATTGAATCCTAATGATAGACAAACAAGTATTCATTGTGTTGAATTGCCTTTGGTTTATCAGTTCTCTCTAATATTTTAGCATCTCACCATCTTACTTAATTGCAAGCATTTTAATTTTTCAAGTCTTTTAGTTTTCAAACAAATCACAACCCCTCTAGTTTACTTTTACTTGTTTAATTTTATTTCACTTGTTCAATTGGATTACATTGGTAATTGAATACAACCATTTCCCCATGGACCGGTCCCCCTTTTTACTATTATATTACGTTTTATTTGCAAGCAAAATGGTGTAATTTGCTTGGTAGCTTGACATCCCACCAGGTTTAAAGTTGAACTCAGTTTTGTTGGATATTATACCTAGAGGAACTCGTTTTGTTGACGAGTCTCAATCGAGGTGGAATGTTGAAATATGATAGTTGTTTCTTCCACAAATGACCAGTTAAATGACTATCCAATCAACTAGTCAAGCCTTCGACCGATCCGATCGTTATGTCGAAGAAACTTTGCTTTAGAAGCTTTGTTGGATTTCTAGGTCACTTTAAGCGGACCAATCCAATCACTACCTCTTATCACCTGTCACTGTGGGACTAGCCTACTTGGTTGAGGCTCTGCCTCTTAGATTGGAGGTCTCAAGTGCGTTGATGATTTTTACTAACTTAATGATACTAACTTCTAACTACTATCCAACTGTTAAAAAAAGACTTATCATCCCCACTGTCGAGGTTTTGGGTTCAAATTCAGTGCTCCTAATTTTGAATGTTTTAGGGTTAGCTTTCTTTTCCTATAAACAGTGGAGGAATAAGGAAAAAGTCAAGGTGTAGCACATGTGATTTTGGGAAATAGCACTCCATAAATTTATATTACACCAAGAAAATTTCCCAAAAAATTTATCTTATGTTGAAAATTTTAAGAAGTAGCACCAGGAGTGCTACCCCCATAAAAGAGAGAACGTTTAGGGCGATGATAATGGAATAATGTTTAGAGCAATTTGAGAGATCAAATTTTAGAGTTCCAAGTTTAGTGATTTTTGTTAAGTGTTTTATCAAAGCATCTTGCTTTGATTTTGAGCCTTAGAAAACACTTGATAATCATGTGTGGAAGTCATTAAAAAAATCACATGTGGAAGCTTTTTTAAAGGGTTGCCCCATAGCAATACATTGCTATTTTGTTAGATATTTTA